AGCACTATGTATGGGAGAACCAGCTTACAAACTCAAATCACATATAGTCCCGGACCGGGAATCGAACCAGGACCACAGCGGTGATAGACCGGCGTTTTAATCCTCCAAACAATACTCAGTCCGATGCCATCGATGGTGAATCTAGACAATATGCTGGTTGTCTTTCTGTGACCCTGAAAGTCTTTTTGAGCGATTTTTCAGTGACATCTTATTGCGCAATCGAGACCATATTTGTGTGCATCACAGAATGATGCTTGAACTGAACACAATTTAAGATTGTTTAATTGTCTCAAATACAGTTTCGCGACATAAGTAAGTAAAAGTAAATTTAGTACAATAAGTAAAGTGTAAAGAAACTAATCTTAGGTGTTTGTTTTGTGCTAGTATATTTATCACTGCATTTCAATAATTAGTGTGCCTCTCCTCCAAGGTGTGTAATTCGGTCGCGGCATTTGCTGGGTATACATTAAGATATAATCAAAGTGTACATATAAGCATCTATATTTATTCGTTTATTTATTTCATATTAGCGCAGAATTATCCAAGCCGAGGTTTCAATAAAGTCGTGACGTACTTCATGGTTTACATACATCCCKGCATTCTCTGAGTGCTGGAAACCTGTTGTCGTTGCCACCGCAACCAGAATAAATGAACTGCTGACAGACTTTGGTCGTAGGGTTGTAGAAAAACCTGACAAGTCTCAATTGGCAATTCCCTTCATTTTTAGCGAGCTGACATCTCGCGGGCGTAGTAGAAGACGCCAATGAAAAACCTGTGAACAGATTTGTGAAATTCAACTTACATCTATTACAGAAAACGTCGAATAATGAATATAGTATACGTAGTGCTAGTTATACCGACCTAAAAGGTGTTTTTACGCTGTTTCTAGAGTAACGCGACCAGCACTCCTTCGATGACAACTCGTTTAGAATCTCCGCATATCTTTCATAATACGAGCACTCTGATTTATTATTGAGAGTGAACAAGGAGAAATCTTCTCGGACTTGAAATTTTATGCACTGRAAGCCCACAATACTTTTGCTGGTACTTTTCTTATAATCACTGGTTTGAATAATAACCATTTTTCGTAAATCAGAAAAAATAAAAACTATTTTCAGTGATATTGATKATCTCGGGTGAAGCCAAGGATTTTTAATGGAACCTTATTAGGCAGGTAGTATGTCGCAAATTCTGAGCACTAATGCAAACCAATATGTGTCCTTATCTTGCTTTACGGAAAAAAAGACAGACATTTAACTCTTGTTMCGTTGACTAAGAGTTTCGGCTTTGACCGTTCAACTAGCAAGACCCCAAGTGGGATCCGTTCATGTGTAGTTTTAAGCCAAACGGAAAATGTATATGAAACACGCCAATAACTTTCACTTTACAATCAAAGTTTATATGCTTGCTCAAAGGGAGATCCAGTGTGCGGATAGGGTGGGGAATGAGTACAACTTAAATCCTTTAACGAGGATCCATTGGAGGGCAAGTCTAGCCATCCCACTTTTCAGAGTTAAAAATATAAAAGTATTAATATATTACATCGGTTAATATGTGGTAGTCTACTTACATGTTGTAGCAAGGAGAACAGCGAACCAGGCGTATTTCATTGTCAAACCGAGGAGAAGGAAAGCGATGAGTTGTTTTTAACAACACACAGTTTATACCTCTTCATTAAAGCGGTTATTTAGAGTCTATATGATTAGTTTGGATGGTTATAATGATCCTTTATTTCACCTTGACAACAAACAATAATTGTAATTCCTAATCTGAGTTAATCCGACCGCAATCGGCCGATGTACTTTAATATAACCTCACTAATATTCTGCACAAACCTATAATTATTTTCAGTAAAAGTTCAATRAAGTTTTATCAGACAAGTAAGGCGGGTGTTAATAATTTTCAACTAACTTTAACCAAATACCCCTGATCAATGCCAGTGATGAACCRCACACATGGTTCAGGCTTCATGTCCGGTTACCATGTGAATAATTTTGATTAACACTTGATCCAAAATAGATGTACACCAATAGTCTGTTGCCTCMGCAACGTAGCAAGTCTTAAATAAGGAGGTAATCCTCTTTCATGCAACAAGGAAAACTATAGGAACAGAGAACGATCATCAAGTGTCACATGATCAGATTGACCAATCACAGGGAGCAATTTTGAAGAGGCAAATCACTCCCAAAAGGTCAGGTCTCTCAAACAAAAACTAATAAAAAGACCTTACAAAAAAGTTAGAGTTTCAAAGAAATGTGTAGATGTTAGATGCGGCGTCCGGATCCTGCACTGTGAAAATAGCAAAAATGTATTCAAGATAAAGTTTAGTCGATTGCAGTGTCGATTTCAGCCAAACTATCATCTACCCATTGATCTTTACTCAATGGCTTCCTGCCTCCGCTGACATATAAACTTTAAAATCCTTATTCTCACTTTCCAGTCGCGTAGCGTGGACGTTTTGGCTAGTACGCACATGCCAGGGACCGCGACACATATTTTGGATTGGGGGGGTTTAACGACCGCCGAAGGCCACTGTAATAAGGGGGGTCCTCCCCCAGAAAGTTTTGAAATAATACCTCTTCGAAATTCGATTCCCAGCGGGGCGTTGAGAGCACATAAAAACATTAACTCACGAACATTTTAATATTTCCTTCATCGGAGAAAATGGTCCATACATTTGGAACACTTGCTCATTTTGGTCCCAAGTTAGTACGCACGTGCGTATATGCGTAAAGGATTCTACGCGCCTGCTTTCAAGGCTCTTTTCATGGCCTGGCTCCTTTTTATGTTCAAGGCATGTTTGCAAAATATTGCCCACTCATTCTCTTCGTTCTTCGTCTCACCAGTTCCTGTCTTTCAAGTCGTACAATCTCAAACGTTGCTGTTTTCGTTCATTTAGTGTTGCTGGTCCTTTTTTATGGAATTCATCTTCAATTGGATACATTTCTTTACTGGATGACTTCAAAGCTGCTCTTAAAACTTACTTTTTTATATTTAAACAAACCAATGATCTCTGACTAACTATATTTCATCGTTAATCTCTTTTTAACTTTTTATTTTAACTTTTACCAGAAGTTTATATAATGTCATGTTAATGAAAATAGCGTTTGCAAGCTAAGGCGGCTCGACTGAGTATAATGTCCTCTGGAAAAAATCGCGCACTTTAATTTGATATAAATTTGATGGAAATGATTTACATCATATTTACATCATTTTGGACAGTTACATAATATTTACATCAAATGTACAACCTTTAAAGTTCGTGTTTTTTTCCAATGATCATTTTATTAAAACAGATTTTAATTTTTCATGCACAAAAACGGAATCAAGCGTCAAGTCGTGCAAAAAGATTTTCAAGGRGTCATGTATTTTAGGTCATCCCATTCAAAACCTCTATTATTGCAGTAAAATTGTGTGTGATGATGAAGTTTTGTAACTATTCTTTTGAAATCTTGTCAGTAGCAGGCACAATTGACCTCAGCATCATGACTTTTGGGTGGGTCGTGAATTTATGTTTGCTTAAATTGAGTCATGTAATTTCGTCCATTTGGAAGACTAGGACCAAATGAAAATATGTCCAGGCCAACCCCCTCAGTAATAAATGACTGGGTCCCTAAGCCTGCGAATTCCGATGCTTCACATTCAAAGCTCTTGGTTGTCATGGTAAACCTTCCAAGTAAGTTTTCGTGACATTTTCCGTATCTTTGTTTCTTTGAAAATGTTCCCTTTCAGAAGATCCAGCAATTTTTTCTTTCTCTCTCACTCCTTTTTTCTTTCTCTCTCACTCCTTTTTTCTTTTTCTTACAGATTACAGCATTCTAAACTCGCACTGACTTCATTGCCGTTACGACAAACCGTTCGCATACTGTCATTTCAATAAGCTATTGAAATTCGGTCAATGTGGACAATAGACTTCTGAACCTTTTACGTCACTACTTGATTTTCAATGCATTGTGGGATCACTTTCTAGAGAAAACAAAAGAAATCCGCCATGTTTTGTCCCAAACATGTCCTACAATGCATTGCGTATACGGTACATGACGTAAAAGCTGCAGAGGTATAGCAGGGAAGTGTACAGAGGCGTACAGAGGCATCAGCAGGGAAGTGTACAGAGGCGTCATACAGTTTTCGAAGCGTTTTCCCGATGTCTTAAAATATCCTTGTTATGAAAAATATACAGAGAAATAAATTCATGTATCTAAAAAAGGTGATGCTTGACTTGGAAATAAGGGTCTGTGCAATAATTACCAGGAGGGGGGGGCGTAAAACCGGAGGAGGGGGGGCATTACATGAAATTGATGGCAAGATAGGAGGGGGTTAAAGTAAAATTACCTAATTAACAGAGGGGGGCCTTAAGTTTCATTCAAAATTTTCATAATTTCGATGTCTCTCAAAATACTCGAAATGGCGCATTTCCAAGAATTATTTCTTTCAAATTTTGAAAAGTTTTTTCAAAATTTTCTGGGGACGGACCAGACTCCCTTAATACTCCCGTCTTTGGCATTCGTTAGACCCTCAGATCCCGGTCCCTGACATGTGCATAAAAAGTCCACTCTACGCGCCTGACTAATGGAAATCTAAATTCAAAGACTCGTTGATGTGTGATTGAAATTGACCAAGATATAAATTTTTTTCAACTATTTATTTTTTCAATTTTGTCACATAAATTGAGGATGTAGTTTTCACATAAATTGAAGATGTAGAAGCTGAAAAACATATTGATGGTTTATTAGACATAACAAGCACAAGTAATATCAAAGTCGTTTTTGACCATAAAAACGTTACATAAGCCTTTTTTGGACCTTGAAAACCTTTGCCAGGAACCAAATTATTTGAAAGAAGCAAGGGCATAACATTTGCTTGTCAGTGTCTTTACACTTAGATCTAAATGAGTAAGCTTCCATCTGGGTTCGTCTTTAGTGAATTTTGGGTTGCTACAGTTGACTCGACTCGCTTGTGCTTGTTTTATAACTAAGGTTAATAGTTGGAGGGAGGGGGGGATCGACGTTATTTCTAATATAGCAGATGGAGGTTAGAGCTATTTTCTCGTGCTTCTGGGGGGGGGGGGGGGGTTCTAACTAATTTTCTGCTTAAGAAATCAGGTTTTACGCTCCCCCTTCCTGGTAATTATTGCATATTCCCTAAATTCATCGAGGAAAGCTAAATTTTTGCGTTTTTTTTGTAAAGATGCTTGAAACGAAATTTATGCTTTATGCTTGTTTCAGTCAATGTTTGTACACGGAAAATTACAGAGTTTGTTAATAAAACGATATCTAAAGAATTGTGACGTACACTCAATTGAATAATCGCAGGCACGTTCCAAATGACTTTAGTTAAAACAGAGCGAATGATATTATTTATAAAACCTTATATTCCTTATTTAAAAAMAATTGGTGACTTAAGATACAACTGAACGTATTTTTCCTGTGTAACAGAAAGTAAGAATGGAACAAATTGAAACCTTGTGTTATTTCTCATGAACACTTTCTCTGTGTGGTATTACTTCGATCGATTCAAACTGTTGTTTATAAAAAAGATTTTGTTCAGTTGTTCTCCAAACTAAAGACCGTCTATGTTCATTTAAAAAAGCACAACTCTCAATAAGATAAGCTTATTCRGCAGAGCATCGTTTAGTTTAATAGATTCAGTTTATGAATGAAGCAACACTTCGATTCCCAGAAAAGGCTTAAAATGATGTCATCGGATAAAAATAGACACAAGTTCCCGGAAAAAAAATAAAAAATAAAAAAAAATCACAATCTAGGAAAAAGAATGAAATCAATACAATTGTGATCTTTGAAAACAAATTTRTAAAGCAGAATTGGATAAAATAACATTGTAATATTTTTATTAAAATATTACATAAAACTAGTGGAATCATAATAAAGTCATTATAACGTGAGCGTGATTGAGTTTTTCCAGTTTGGAAGGAATTCTCTTGCCATCAGCGGCATTGTATTATACGTAGGAATATCAAAAGAATCCTTGTTAAGGTACAGTCCTTCTTAAAATTATAATTAAACAACTAACAAAATATTAATATACATTTATGCACAGTGAATTGTCATTATGTGTATTACCTTGCTAGCATAGAAGTTTCGATTTTGACTAATGTTTATGAAAAACACTTCGTCTAGTTATTTTCAAAAGCAACGTCCTCCTACTTCCACCTTCTCAGGGTTTGTACTCCAGGTACACAATAATATGAAACACAGCAAAGAAGTGGGCACACCCTGTACCGATATTTAAAAACATTGAAAAAAATAATGAAGCAATGCTGAGCCACCTAATTCCATCCTCTCGAGGCTTTGTACGTCAGGTACAGAGTAATGTTCAGCAATGCAAAGAAGAAGRTRCATYCTGAGCCGCGAGRCAAGGACATWTGAGAATTAYACASGACCTTAGAGATGGTAACCAGATATGAGAAGAACATCAAATAGCCATGGACGCGCCGGCGAGTGTCCGTYGTTGGAATATAAGACTTTGRAGTCACAAKTCTTAGAGTTTGATTATTGTCAGGACGAAAAAACAACGMAGCAACCACGGACGAAAGGACAGCCAACATTCCMATCAACGAGTGCATCTCCCAGGACAAGAATCGTATTCCAGAACACACGGAAATTACATAAACGGGCCCAAAAATGATTCGCACTTCTCGCACAGCCTCTCTCAGTCGATCAGGTTTCCTTAGATATTGGGTTGYGGCAAGGGYAAGAGTAATGCAATCAAAKGTTTCTTCCTTCCAATCGACTCCCAAGACCATGTAGATACTACTACTCAAAGTKAGAGTTTTTATTAGTTCGTCGTCTTTATATCGGAAGATCGAATATAAAAGTGCTGCTAGTGCAAAAAGTTSRCTGATRTTGYCGCTCRATGGAACAAGACCAAGAATCAAARCTATTGCAAGGGCCAAGCCGTCAYAGAATACCAAGGATCTATGAACATCAAAGGAAAAATCTCTCTTAAAGAAAATCGTCAGGCTTCTTCCCAAAAGAACTGAAATTGACGCAAGAAAGAGAACGTTTTGGAGCTGAGACATGTCTAACGCGGACGGCACTTGGAGATTCTAGATACTACTGCGACGAAACTGGCCAATGAAATGCATTGGATCTCTAKTTCTCAGAAATAGACGTGTACCAAACATTCCGGAAGTACACTACCCAACTTCAGTTTTTCATCACTTATTTTTGTCAGGAAAGTTTGGGAGAAAATTGTATTGTAATCGAAAATTGGGTTGTAATTAGCACAATTCTGTCATAAACCTTACATTTTTGTGCTAAAAATGTGTAAGGGCTTGTTTTTCTTTTGGGTCTCTTTTTCAATTTTTGATTTTTTTTTCTTCGTTGTCAATCATATGCGTTGTTTTTTAAATCGTTGACGAGGAAAATTTCAAAATGTTTAATTGACTTTGTACTAGTTCACACATAAATTGATAAATCCTATACTGAAAAAAAGAAAAAAAGAAAAGAAAGGGAAAAAAAGAAAAGAAAAAAAAAACCGAAAAGAAATGAAAGAAAAGAATATCGGAAACGTCGAACAGAAGGACTTAACCATCATTTGGAAATACTTTGCACTTTTGCAAATCCTAATTACTATACTCTTTTCGCGTGTTGAGCGTGGATGGCAAATTCATTCTATATTTTTCTTTGTTTATTCTGCGAAACAATTTTAATAGGCTAATTATAAAACAGTTATTATGATCAACTAGGAATGGTTTTAATCAGACTTTATCGTAAAAGCCTTAATCTTAAAAAAATTAATTAAGATTAGCTTTACACCTTTTAAAAAAGTCTTAATCCGTTTATTCTCTCGGACAGCAAAGTATAGGACCYATTTATGTCGACATTTATTTATCTGTCGATTGAATCCCCGGTACCCCGACCCCGGTACCCCGACCCTCGTTGAGGCGAAGAAGGGAAACTAACGTCTAAATCAAAGCAAATTATTAAGTAATATTTAATAATTTTCTAAAGATCTTTTTAATTGACTTGTTCGAATAAAGTAAATAAATATTTTGTAAATAATTTCTCATCATCATTATTTATTAATATTTTCAGACATGCAGATATTCAAATTTTTATATTTATATACTATATGATTTATACTTATACTTATCAAGGTGGGGAGAGGGGGATATTGATAATGATACATTTTTTAAGTAAATGGTATACAGCAAATTTTGATTAGGATTCGCAATTTGGTAGGTAGCTTTTTTATCACGAAAAATKTATATGTAGTTTATCAAAAGAGTCAGTTTGTCAATTCGAGTGACATGATTATCAACAGTCATCACCAGCTATGTTTACAAAATAATCTTAAAGAACGAGACATTAGATTTTTGAGGGAACCACAACAATGACCGTGTGCATAGTTTAGTCACCTAGTCACACCACGTGTTTGATCCAACGCATGCGCATGCAAGTTCTTCTTGATCCTTTTTCCCTAAAGTGCCTGGGGATGGACTATTAGTCTTCGTACTCTAAATATTTAATAATTCTTGTCTTTTTAAAAAAGCCTAAAATTATTAGACGAAAGTCTAACTTAATTTAGGCTAAATATATGTAGCCCAATGGTAGTTCAAGGTAGTTCAACAATAAATGCTCAATTATTCCTAACTTTTAGAATTTTAGTAATACGATCCACTGATATAGCATTTTCTTCAGTAATCTTAGACACAAGTAGTTTCCAGGTGGTCTGGTAATTCCAGTTGCAGCTCCATGAAGAGACTCTTGATCAAAGCCGCTGTAGAGCTTGATCTTTGTTTATCACAAAGTGATAGAACCTCGTCTACCTAAATCAAAAATATACAGCAAAGGTGAAAATGACATTCAGTGGCCATAGGGTGATATAATTCTTGATAGTCAATGAATTCCTTCATGCCAAAACAATTGCTTTGAGTTGGATGACGACCCGAGGTGGAGCTTACCCCTATTCAAGATAACTGAAGGTCAACTGTACACTCTATTCAATACGAGAAGGCCAAAAACCCGTACCCGATATAGCGGAACATCCCCGTGCAGTAACCCAACCACTACCCCTCCCTTCCTTGGGGTCGAGGAGTATTTAATTGCTAATGAATTATAAGGCGAATAGCGTTATAATTCATTAATTTTCAGGACGTGTTTTGAAAATGGAGAAAGGTCATAATAGTATCGTTCTCTGGTTCGCGCACCTTTTATTAAAGTACGCACCAATGACGACACTGTAATCTTACATATGCTCTGATTGGGCAGATCCAGTGCGCGYACTCGCATTCGTTCAACCAATAAAATTACTCTCGCTCCACGGAACAAAGTAGAGGAAAATACGATATAACAAATAGATCCCTTTTCCTTGGGTSTGATAGACGAGGCGCAGCTCTTGCTCATCTAATCCTTTAACACTAACACAGATGACTTCAAAATGCGGTGAGAAGGGGCCTCATTGTTGTTAAGTACACGTTTATAACAATTAAGTTTGTTTAACGTGTTTAATGGCCTCATACACTCTATCAAATGACGTATATAATGTGTGAGGGATATAGAGCACGGTTTAAGAGAGCACGGTACTAGTTGAGATTTAAATTAAATGTCAGTTTGATTTTGTTATTCTACCTGTCTAAACATTGCTAGGTYTTCATGAGCCTTCAGGAATATTTTCAGGAGGCGACTGAACTGGATGATGTCTGTCTTGGCGTAATATCCATCGTCATAAATTCGCAATTTGCTTGCTCTTGAGAAATCAAACAATACAGCTCTTCCAGGAAAGACCTAAAGAAACCCATAAACATCATTAAGATAAAAATGGATTGATTTGATTTGATTTTCGGTTTTTTCGCATTTTAGAAGGAAAAAAATTTTTTACACTAAGTTAAAAAAGGAAGACATGGAAGAGAATTGTTTAGAGAGCTCGAGTCGAGAATCGAAACTGCGATCTTTAGTTTGACGCCACTATTAGAGTATTCGTCCTGGACACGGTTAATGAATTGGAATTGATAAAAACTAGCTAAGGTTTTTACTTGAAGATTAACGGTGGCTAGCGCCATCTATTTATCGCTCGGTAAAATCAACATTCATCAGAATACATAAGATAAGTAACCCTAAAGTTACATCCTCTTTACCTGGAACTCACTCTCATGGACAATGATCGATCGAGAGTTGATGCTGTTGTTACTGAGGCCGCAATCCTGGAGAAACTCGATGGCTGAGATGATGTCAATAGACAACGAACACAAGATATTTGATGACAAGACATCTTTGTCTTGTAGGTACATATGAAGGAGTTTGTTAGGCACGTAGTCGTAACAGATCCTGAAAAAAACGAATTATTTTTCAAATATTTGTTTGCATAACTGAGATAATCAATCTCGCTCAGGGCGATATGGCGATCGAGCATTAAAAACTATTTGCATACCTACTATTCTAATGTTTTTTATACAACTTTTCAGTAAAATCAGACGTTTTGATTGGTTGGCTTTCGTGTGTTATCAAAGTATAGATACACGGATTACGTCAAAACTAATTGTTTGTTGTATAAAACAGATAGATCTCATTTTTCCGTGCGTGTGTACTCTAATAGATACACAGATGACGTCAAAATGTAGTGAGAACAACAGTCACGCACTCGACTGCGTCTCGTGCGTACTTTTTTGTTCTCACTACATTTTGACGTCATCTGTGTATCTATTAGAGTACACACGCACGGAAAAATGAGATCTATCTGTTTTATACAACAAACAATTAGTTTTGACGTAATCCGTGTATCTATACTTTGATAACACACGAAAGCCAACCAATCAAAACGTCTGATTTTACTGAAAAGTTGTATAAA